CACACAACGAGTCGGTAAGTGAACGTGTTAAGTAAGAAGCATTTGGGTTTGCTCGTCGCTTTTCTTAAACCTGACGATGTCTTATTGAACTGAACGGTGTGTGGCGTTTATATATCTGAACTGGTTGGATTACCAAATAGGACTGCACTTGCCTTGTCCGGTGAATGAGATCCAAAATGGAGGAAAGCTCCTGAAAATGCCCTTGCTCCACCATTCTATCAGCCTCATCTATCACAAGGTATCTCAGCCGCTCCAGTTTGCTAACATGCTCTTCACCCTGCGAAATAGTCAACATAGGAGAAGCAAATTATATACAAAATAGCAGAATATCAAGTTAAAGTCAAATGCTTTAGTACATGTAGATGAGGGGCGGTGACTGACTCCCTAACAAAAGGATAAAAAATTAATCTATCTAAAGTGACCAGTTCGCATTGTCAATTCCTTAAATAAAACCAATTTCTTGTGCTTACGATGTACACTCCCTTACCATTGCAACACCTTAATTTTCCTAGAAGATAATACCTTAAAACACGTTGCGTACATTGGAGAGTCGTAATGTAAGGTTTGACCCAACAAATGGGAAATTTATGTCTGAATGTACTGACCTCCGAAATTAAATCCCACAGACGCCCAGGTGTGGCAACTATTATTTCTGGGCACTTGCGAAGTAGTCTCTGCTGTTTCTGTGGCGCCATGCCACCAACCACAGCTACAATCTTACGAGAAACAAACAGAGAACAAAATATGTAAATATTAGGGACAACGTTTACCCTTGGGAATTTATGGCCCAAATGTGACAGTTATAAACCATGAAATTTCAAGAAAAACATAAGCCAGTTAGAGTTTGCCCCACTAAATTGTTTAATATCAGTGTCCACATTCATTGAGAGATAAAATAGAACAATAATTTTATAATAACAACTAGAAGTATTAAGTACACTTTGTTATAATATACTAAAAGACTACATACATACAATTTCATAGGTAGCCATTACAACACCAGAAGGATGATCATGAGGTTATCCCTGAATTAAGATCTCTCCTTTCAGATAACCCACCCAGCCCAGGAAAGGTTGCCCACACCACCAAGATCTACGTCCCCTACTCTTTTCGAACAGTGGTATGGGCTCTTTTACATCCCACAAGAACCAGATAAGTAAAAGTGCTGTGAGATGGGACCTACTGTATCTGTATCTGAGAAGACTAGAAAGTCCAACCATTTGCAGATGTCATTACAAAGGCAGCACTTTCTTCTCAGTCACTTAAAGACCCTGTGTGTTGGTCCAGTCGGGGTTTGAACCTGCAACCTCTGCTTAGCAGACCGGCGCTCTCCCAACTGAGCTAACCAGGAGTCAGCAAACAGGAAACATTCATTCAGATAAAAAGGAAAAAGGAAACATTCATACCTCTAGGAATGTGTGCTTTGCAACCTGCTGAAGATGGCTTTTTATTTGCAAGGCCAATTCTCTAGTTGGTGTCATAATCAAAGCTAACAGTGGCCTTTTTTTTTTATCACTGTCCATGCTGTTACCAGCTTCAGCTGACGATGTTTCTGAAATGTCAACCTTTTCCTCATTTTCATTCTCTCTATCAGTTTCTTGGACAGCTCTTTGATGCAAGATGTGAGTGATAATTGGAATGCCAAAGGCAAGGGTTTTTCCTGAACCCTGATAAAGAATAATAGGAGATGTTTGTAAGATGAGTACATCTCTAGCCCAACTGTATGTTGATTGTTTCCTGGTTGAATACCAGTACCTGAACAATCACATAGGATAATAGGTATACATTAAAGGGAAAGAAAATTTAAGCAGAGAGAAAATTGAATCACAATATGAACATATTGTGTAAAAATTTCTTGACTAAGAGTGAACACATCTTGTGAGAGCAATGAATAACATTTTCTGAACCATATATTGGTGTTAATTAATTTTGTTGAATTGCAAAATTTAGCTCCGGCAAATAATAGCGTCAAAGGCAAACAGTCTTAAGATGAGAAACAGATTTGCAAGAAAATTATTAATACCAAAATTAATTTAAAAGATGGCAGCATCCCAGTGCTCGACTTTCAGAAAAAAATCTTGGGGCCAACTGGCCCCCAAGTTTTCATTTTTGGTCGCCAGAACAAGTATTCTAGTCGCCAAAAATTGTATTTAAGAACTAATGGGATAAAATAGACTTAACATCTTTAACTTAGCCTTAACAGAAAATGAATGGTTTAGACTTCCTTTGAACTTTCTTTCGAATGGTTTTCACTGACGCTCGATTACCAGCCGGTGTTCTGTAAAATGAATCCGCACTCAAGCGTAAATCTCCTCAAACAGGTATTCAAGCTTAAGGTTCAGGAAATGGAATACACATTAAAAAAACAAAATTTAGGAATCACAAAAAAACTTATTTGGGTTATGAAAGAACAAAATCTGCAAAATTTGTTTTGCGTCCCATGTATTTGCATGTTCAGAACTGAACATCGGTGAAACTTCATCTATTGCGCGGTTGCCTAACACGTGATCGAAAGTCTCCAGAAAGACCAGAAAGAGGAAACGTTGCTAATGTTTTCGGGCAAAGAAGTTGATTTCGCGAGAAGTCTGTTAGACAAACAGCATGACTTCAACTTTACTTAATTAGAAGTCAATAAAATACGGCAGAGCTTTTATTTGCGTCGTCACGCTCAACAGAAATTTGCGTAAAGTTGTTTACAAGAATTGCGAAGCTCGAGAAGTAAGCGCCGTTCGTTCTCGATTAGCTTCGATTAGCTTGAGCTTTTATCAGACTAATCTGTTATCGAGTCCGCAATCGAGATACATGTTCGACATAAAGAAATTGTTTTAAATATCGATGCGCTTAAAGTCATTCCCGGAGAAACACGGGACGATCTGTTGAGAATTGCGATCGATTTGTCCGAAAGTCGATTAAAGTCTTCCGTCGAATTCATTCATTTCACAATCCTCTTTCAAGTAAACGTAGATTAGAGTGTTGGAAGAAATCGTTAAAGCCTTTAGACAAATCGTTAAAACGTTTAGACAAACCGTTAGAGCGTTTGGGCAAAACGTTAGAGCGTTAGAAAAACCGTTAGCTATCCGTTAGTTGTGTAAAGGATAACAAATTATCATTAGTGTACGTTTACCCAAAGAAGAAAGTCACCTATCTTGGGGGCCAGGTTGGCGACCAGGCGTGAAAATTTAGTCGCCACTGAGTAAAAGCTGGTCGCATTGGCGACCCCACGGGTCGCAACGTCGAGCCCTGCATCCTGAAAAATCTCTTCTTTATCTAGCCTCAGGCGGTCATTTTAAAGTTAAAAAAAAAGACTCATTCATAAAGATGAGCTACATTATGTGGGTGGATCACTCCATTTGCCGCCTGATGCAAAACTGGATATGTTACATTATTTTGTTAATATTTCATTTATTAGACAGTAACCATGGTAACACTGTAAAATGTCAGACATTTAACTTACAGTTTCAGCAGCCCCAATGATGTCTCTATAATAGAATATTGCTGGTGGTAAGGATAGTGTCTGTATTGGTGTAGGGCTAGTAAATCCTTGATCACTGAGAGCTTTCAATATCTTGGTTGGAACTCCCAGGGATTCCCAGGTCTTCATATCTAGTTCTATTAAAATGACAAGATCAGCACCATGTAAGCAGAGCCCCATATCTATGAAGAATTTGTTCAGCATAAATAGGCAAAATAGTATAATAATATCATTGCACCTTCTGAATCTTCAGTTATTTCATTTTCAACTGAAGCTTCCTGCTTCTGATCTGGTTCCTCATCACTTTCAATTTTCTTTTTCTTTTTCTTCTTTTTCTTCTTTACATTCGCAGATTTTTCTCTTTCTTCTTCTTCTAATGTTGATGGTGGTGTAAGTTTAGGTTGATCCTTTTGCTCCTGAAATTGTAAGCATTGCAGAATTCACAATGTAATGTACCCAAAGTCCCAGAATATTGTAGAAAAGAATAGGAAATTAAACCTCTATTGAGCGGCCACCTCTAACTATGGCCACCTTTTGGCCGTCCCAACAGGAGTTCTCCCATTGTTGTTTCCTCCATAAAGTGGCCATCAAGCACTTGATTCACTTTGTTTGGCCTTATTTCAATAATATGATGAAGGAAAATATGGTCCAAGATAGAAGTGATGACCGATTGTGGAACAATAATGCTGCTCCTGTCGCACGTTTGTTTCAAAATAAAGTGATGTTTCTACTACAGAAAGTAAAGATTATGCTAATTTATGATGAACCTCTATTGAGCACCCAACCTCCGTTAAGCGGTCACTTACTGGTACCCCGTGGGTGGCCACTTAATAGAGGTTCAACTGTGGAGAAACGTCTGTTTTCACAGGCTATAGTCTAAAATGAATAGAGTTGAAACATGTATGCACAGTAAATGCAACGCTGTGCTCTAGCATTACCTGGTGGCCCCTGGCACTTTAGTTTTGCTTGGGGGCAACTAGAAAATCTTAGTTTTTTTCATAGAAACCATGTGCTGGGCACCCAGGGTTTTACAGGCTCAGAGCTCTGGGCTCCCTTTAGTTTTTCTTGGAGCACAGCCTTAAAATTAATGGGGTTACACGGAAATCTTACCCAATAACCTTCATGTCTCAACTTCATCACTCTAACCTCAAAATCACCTCTTCTCAGCGATAATAAAGCTTGCTAAATAGAAATATACCGAGGCAATTGCAAGAAAACACAAGGATAAATAAGTTTATTACTGTGATTATTATATGATATGATCACAATAATACTACCACCAAGCTACCTGTTCTGCTTGCACTTTCGCTTTTTTCTTACGAGGTGGAACATCAACATTAATCACCTTGAGTTCTTCCAAGTTATATTCCTCCATAACCTCAAGAGATACAAATCCTTCCATGTCGCCGGAAAAGAACGTTGGATCGTCCAACACGACCGGCGTCCATTTTCGTTTCCTGGTTTTCCTGTTTTTGTCCGCCATCGCGATAAGTGTACTTTTTCACATAGAAAATAAGAGCACGCCTAAAACTTTATTCTCGGGTAAAATAGTTTCCTCTCTCCATCCGGCCATCCGCCATTGTGGCTTGCTTTCTTGGAGAGGATTGGATCGAGTTTTTTAAGACGCATGCTATCATGAGTAGAATTCTTACCGCTGACTGTTTGTAGATTCGCGTGACCATGTTGCATGTTCAGCAAGAATTCAGCTGACTTTATGGTTCTGCGTCGTTTCTGCGAATTTTAAGTTCACCATCTTGATATGGCTAGCGCTCACCGCACTTATAAAGAAGAATGCTCTTTCATTGAGCGCCAAGATGAGAATTCATTCCTGATAAAGAAAGGCTTTGTTCCAAATATGAAGGTAACTTTAACCTAAGTTGAGAGGAGAGGTTCTTGGTTCTAAACCGAAAAAAAGATTTCGTTCCATTCGATGGAAATTTACCCACAGCACGCTGTTCAAAATTTGTAAGACACACTATCACCTTTGTACTTTTAATGAAAAAGAAACTGTTGGTAAACTTTATTAATTTATGCGTAGCTCTTTTTATTATTGTTTATTTTACCCATCCCCCTCTTCCCCGCCTCCTCTCTCCTGCTCATAGTTCACAATCCCCGGCCCCCACCTCTTAATGACAGCTGTGAATAAAATTAACTTCAACTGCAGGGATGACCATATGACAGAGATTAAGTTACGCTCCCCCTTCATCTGAACATATTTATTATCTTCAGTTGAATGGTGAGAGCAACTTTATTAACTCTCATGATTGCCCTGATTTTAAAATTATACAAATGTTGAAGTATTTGCAAATTATGTGTTTCAATAAATTTTATGTTTTGTCTGAAGGTTGAGGGAGTCTTTTATATTAATGATTTACTTGAAAAGCTGATGTTTGATGAACTGAAGCATTTTGCAGGAACCCAAGGTAATCCAAGTCACTTATTTTAATTTTATAAATGCTTCAAATAAAACAATATTACCATTAATCCAGAGAAGGGTTAATACTATTTTTGGGATAGAACTGGGGTTCTTTCTCCTCTATTCTGGAATCAGAATAGTCAGGATTCATGATATCTCTATTATTTTTTGTTCGATAATTTTCAAGGTATTGGAGGGTTTCTTCCTGGTGTCAAGCAGATTGCAAATGTGGCAGCTTTACCTGGAATTGTTGGTGTAAGACAACATAGTACATGTTGTGATTCAATTTTATCCTTGGTTCAAATTTGGTGCTCTTTTGTTTTTTGGGTATGACAGTAATATGATAATGAGTTTGAAACAAAAGAAAAGAAAATTTGAACCAAGGATAATATTGAACCACAACATATATATTTCTTATTTTTCCAATAACTGGCCCTATGTACAATTCTCTATACCAGTATATTTTAAAAATAATATTCAATAATAATATTGTGTTATTTGAATGATTTTCGTGCAGAAATCAGTTGGCTTGCCAGATGTGCATTCAGGTTATGGATTTGCTATTGGTGAGCTCTAGCTGTTTGATAATCTAGTTGTAAGGTCATTCAAGTCTAACAAAAGGAATCTTGATTTTGTTTCTTTCATAATGCCAAGGAAGAATCTTATTATTGTGTTTTTAATGTCAAACCACTGTGATAATAATGAATGGCAGGTCACTCCAAAATTTCTTTTAATATTATTAATCCCATGGTTTATCGTGACCTCCCCACTGGGCAGTCTTCTAATTGTGTTTGAAGTTTTTATCATCTCTAATTTATGTTGTTGTACATTTAGGTAACATGGCAGCTTTTGACATGTCCCTCCCAGAAGCAGTTGTTTCCCCAGGTAAGGGGTATTGACTTGTCTGTTATGAGAAAATCTTGATGACCAGCAATTAAGCGGTATTTTTCTTCTTCTTCAGGTGGTGTTGGTTTTGATATCAATTGTGGCGTAAGACTGTTAAGGACAAATCTTGATGAAAAGGACGTTCGTCCTGTTAAAGAACAGATAGCTCAGGTTAGAGAATTACCCAAAACAATTGGGTGAATCAACACCTGATATGTTTATTACAAACTTGATGTCTTCCACAGTGGGCTTACAGCCTCCTAACTGGATGTTCAGAACTGACAGGGCAATTAACTGTCCACTGTTTGAATTCTTTACATTTTGCACACTATATTCGCCACTTTTAAAACCAGAAGGAA